TCCGGCGCTCATTTCACCATGATTGCTCTGTGACTCCTCGTAGAAAGCTCTAACACCGATAACGGATGACCGACGGGCTACCTACCCACAAACAACACAACAAACGTGTTCCCGAAAACGATCCGTGATACACCATCCTGCATCCTGGCGCAGCTTGAAAAACTGCGCGCTGGGATCATGGTGGGTGGGGTTATCGCAACAATTCTAATCAAAATACGTGATCGACAGGCCGAACGTCGGTCGGCCTTAATGGAGCCTGGTAGTTGCGAGATAACCTCGACTGGAAGTGGCTGACTTGCGATAACCAGGCGTCGTGCGACGCCAGCCTGTGTCCACTTAGATGGTCACGCCAGGGTGCATGGACCTAAAACAATGGAGTCCGTAAAAAACCCGTATACGCCTCCATAGCGAAAAATGGTGACTGCCGTTGAAGTCGTCGCAGTCCTCCAGGGCGATGACTTGACGAGCAACGTCCTGCAGCTCTCGTGGCACGTCGTTCTCATTTTGAATCGTTCGGGTCGCCGAGGAAGCACCTCCAGAAATGGCGCAAAACGTGGGTAAACCAACGGAGTGGCTCGGGAACGTGGAAGAAGTCTGGGCCGCGTAACACGCCACCAGCCCCATCAACTGTTTCCTGCCTGCGGCGGGGGTAGCCCGACACCTCCGCCGCCGCTGCCTTCTCCTTCGCCGCTATCAGCTGGCCCACCGTTCCTGGGACGCCCTGAACTTCCGGCACCTCGTTAACCGGCTGGCCCCGCTCGGGGGTTCTTCGCACTGAAAGCCCTGGGGTGAAGGTTGGAGGCTCTGGTGGCCCAGCAGACGGCCTCTCGAAATGAGGTGCGTCCTTCGCCGTCGCGAGCGAGACCTTTGGGGGGCAGTCTTTGCTGCGGGCGCTGATTCTGACAGCAATCACTGGTCGACTGGGGCAACGACCTGGCTCCAGACATTAGTTCCATGACAACGCCCTCGCGTGCCATTCCATCTTTAACTGAACACGCGCGATCTGTCATGGCATCTAACGCAATGGCCACCGCCACCTTGGCAAGAGAAGTTGGTCCCGCTCAAGTAACCGCTGGACAACGTCGCCGAAAGGATACATTAACTTCACGATGGTGGCCACGTGTCCAACGATTCTGTGGCGCCTAACCTCACGAGGCTCTGCGTTTCGCTCCTGCCCGCGGTGAAACAACTGATGTCGGCCACTGACGTTTCCGTCTGACAATTAAGTTTATGCGACACTGCGACACTGCATACGTCCTGCGCGACCGACGGCCACCGACGAGATAAAACCCCACCTCGCTCTTCAGGTGTTCGAACCTGCCTTGAGGGTAAACAGTAGCCTGGATGGACGGTTCAAGTTTATCCTTGGTTGATCCTCCGTGGTCCCCCCCTCCTGTTCCTCGGCCCTCCTCGTCGGCTTCTTGGTCACGTCGCGAGGAGGCGGGGGGGTGCAGGAAACCAAGCGCAGGAGCAACGCGCTGAAGTTTATGATGGGCCTGTTTTCCACCACCACCACCACCATAAGCTGGAGGGGGGAAGGTGGAGGACGAGAAGGAGGAGGAGGACGACGAGGAGGAGGAGGAGAAGGTGGAGGATGGGGAGGAGGAGGAAGAGCAGGAGGCGGAGGAGGAGGTGGAGGAGGACCCCCTCCCCCTCCTACATAGAATGGTGGCGGTGGAAGAGAAGCCCATCAATTTAACTGATACCCCTCCTGCCAGAGCTTGGAGTTCGAAAGATGCCTGTAACCAGTGGGACCCTGGAGAGGCGTCCGGAACCCCAGCGTCGATTGGATCCGCAGGGGTAGGGTTCGATAGCAGTCGCAGCGGGGCGCCTCCTGCCAGGAGTCCACGTTGGACTTCGGACCATAACTCGGGCCTCCAGCGGCCGTTCGGGAGAACCCAGGCACCGCGGAAATCTCTCGACGAGGCGCAGCCGCTGGAGGGCACCCCGAGGTTGGAAAGAACCGTCGAGAACCGACGAAACCGCTCGAAAACCTAGAATCTCAGAGCCTTACGTTTTCTCCCAACGCTGCCCCAAGGTCGACTGGATCCGCATGGGTAGGGTTCGAAAGTGGTCGCAGTTCGTTTTCCCTCCCGAGGCGCTACGTGGTTTGCCCGAGGCTGAGCTCCGTAGCGAATGCCAAGGTTTGTTACATCTGACCAAACTTAGCTAACATGTGGGTCACAACTGCCCCGAATGGCCCAGGGAATTATAGATCCAGGTTGAAGTGGGCTCCGCCCACTTAGCTCAGAGGGGAGAGGCGGACCACCACCACCAAGAACCCATGAGTGGAATGCCGACCCCTGGGTGGTGGCACGCCCCAGCGTCGCTCCAATACAAGACGACGCTCAGGCGTGCCACAGCCCAGGGGCTGGTCCCTCATTGATGGGTTCTCGGCGGGGGTGTTTGACGTATCTCCTCTGGTTATCGGAATTCTCTAACCCAGACCCCCGACGTCGTGATTTCTTCACAACGTCGACCCCAAGAGGTCTGGACCTCTCCCCCTGGACCTGTTTTTTCATCCTGGGCCGTTTCTTGACGGCCCCGAGGGCCGCAAAGCCGAAAATGGCGAACGCCTCACGCCGTGATTGTTTGGCAACGCGAGGGGGTCTGGGAACCCGCCAGAGCCACACTCGGAGCATGGGTGACCCACTGATGGGCCAGTTTCGGCCTCCGGGGGCCCCTCGCCAGGCCCGGCTCCTGGGCGGCGACGACAGGGGCGAATAGCCCAGGGGCGGGCATTACACGTATTCGCCCGGGAGCCTTGTCGAAGACATAGATCATCGGCGCCACTGGACACATGTATTGCTCTCCCCTGGGCTACTCGCCCCTATCGTCGCCTCTGAGGCTCAACGGAGCCCTCTTCTCTCGCCGCGGAGGGGGGGGTCCCCGAGGACGCGCTGGGGGCCGCCACGATCCCCAGGGCCCGAGGCTGGAGATGCTGCAACACTCGGGGGGGGGGCTCCCTGGCATGCCTCATGAAACGCTGGGTAAACACAGGGCCTCCCAAAGAGCTTTTCCTCCTCCTCCTCTTCCTCCTCCTCCTCCGCTTGTTCCACTTCCAACTGCACCCCCCCTTCCTCCTCCTCCTCCTCCTCCTCCTCCTCCTCCTCCTCCTCCTCCTCCTCCTCCTCCTCCTCCTCCTCCTCCTCCTCCCTATCCTCCTCCTCCTCCCGGCCCATCCCTCACAGCCCAGCAGACCCCAACACTGGTGCCACCGCTCCTTCGCGCAGCCCATGGGCTCCCAATGGCCCAGCAGCCCAACACAGATGGGCACCTCTCTTGCCGAGTGAACCCTGCACGGGAAATCGCCAGTGGGGAGACGCTATGGCAGAAGAATACATGTCCTCGGCCTGTCATTCTGGGCGACCCAAAAGGGGGCCCAGCGGCAAGGGGGTGGTGCAAAAGGATTGGGGCAATTGGATTGCAGGTGTACTGCGCCGGAGAATTGTATCGCATTGTATTGCAACTCATGTGTTACACGCGAAAACCCAGCAATACACTTGCGCCCCGGAATGGATTGCACGCCCCAAGTGCATTGCAACCCAACAATATATTTCACCAAATCTATTGCACCACCCCTTTGTCGCCGGACTCCTTTTTGGGTCAACCCGAGTCATGTACCACTCACTCCTCCACCTCATCTTTGCATCTAGTGTCAAACTGCTGCTATAAACTAGAAGGACTGCTAAATCAGGGACGAAGTCTGAAGCCCCTCTTCGGCTACAGGAAGGCCTTACTTAGTGCACACACGAGGAGCGCTCGAGGAACAGCCTGGGAGGGAGCTCTGAAGAATAGCGCACGCTTTCCGAACTCGACCTGTTTGTATCTTCGGCGTCTTGCTTGTACCGTTCCCTCACATGCCCGATCCCCAGGATCTCCGACGCCGCGTGCTCTTGTTCACAATGTCGACTCCCCGAGCTCGAGACCGCCAAAAACTACCTTGGGACGAGTAACCCAGCAGTCCTTTGTGCCGGACAAGTTGTGGCGGTCCCGGAGCCCAGCAAGGCGCCCCCGAGGCCGAAAAGGCTAACAACTTCACGTCGCGATTTTCCCACAACAAGAGGAAAACACTTCCGGGTCATAACTCGGGCCCCGGCTGCTGTTCAGGACGATCCGGGCACCCCCAGAATCAAGTGCGCCTAATTTCGCGATGCGCGAAGCGCGAACAGATCTGCGCTCTCGCGCCGCCCCCCAGGGGAGAAAAGGAGTATGAGGAGTATGAGGAACCGAGCCGCGAAGCGCGAATAACTTCGCGCCCTCGAGGGCGTCCTTGCCACTTCCTGAGGGACGGACCTTCCTCCCGAACCGTTTTGTTGACGGTCGACCCCGAGGCCCGGTTTGAGGGTCCTGAGAACGATGCAACACCTCCACCTCGATTGTGCTCCACATGTCTTAGATGGAAACCTCTACCACTTCCCTATGGACGGAGCTTTTTCCAAAATCATTTTGTTGACGATCGATACCGAGGCCCGGTTTGAGGATCCCGAGGGGCCGAAAACAATGCAACACTTCCACCTCGATTGTGCGCCACATACCTTGGATAGAAGCCTCGAAATTCGAAATCCGACAGCCTCGAATCCTGGGGGGAGGGGCGACAGTAGACGGTCCAGGGATCCCTACTGCAGGCGGGGGGGAGGAGGAGCAGGAACGAGGAGAAGGAGGAGCGGGAAGAGGGGGAGGGCGAAGAGGAAAAGGAGGAGGAGGAGGAGGAGGAGAATGCGGGGGGCTGGAGGAGCAGGAGGAGGGGCAGGGGAAGGGCCAAGGAGTCTTCCTTCCATTCTTGGCCGATTTTGGCCGATTTCGCTGGCCGCGCCATGCTCGCCAAGAATGTAGACATGGCCTTCCAAGGCCCTTGCATCCTTACCGTGCGTCCTCATTGTACGGGTTGACCGTAGGAAGCCTCAAAACTCGAACTTCGAAAACCTCGAGTCTTGGGGGTCCGTCTCGATCCCCCCCGCCCGCCCGACCCCCGCTGGCCAGCCGCCCTCACCGCCCGCCTTGTCGCCCCGGCGCCAGCCGAACTGCCTGGCCACCGCCTTCACCACCGCGACGACCGTCAGGTCTGGGCTCAGCGAGCAGCCTGCGGCACCGCCGTGCAAGATGAGGCCTGGACGAGACTAAATCCAGGTGAGGATAGATCGAGAAGTCTCTAAGATCAGGCGGCTCTGGAGGATGTCTCGGGCGCCGCGGCCTTCCAAGAGCATTCCCGAACTCTCTGAGAGCGTCATGGGACGCTCTGGAGCGGATTTATCCTCGTCCTAGCCCTGTCATGCGGTGCGCCGCGCGGGGGGTCAAATGGGGCACGGCGGGTTTTGGCGGAATGCGGGGAAGACCAACGAGGACGACGAGGAGGGCCGACGAAGAGGAGCGGGGGACAGGAGTGGAGGCCAGTCCACAAGAAACCTTCCACGAGAAACCCAACCCTGAGACACCCAGGACGTCAAGTGACTCTGGGCGCGGGAGCGTCACGCCTTCCACGGCAACGCCACCGAAACCCAGGGCACCCTGGAGGCGAGCAGGGTGCTTCTTGGCATGGCCCCCCACTGTAATGCGGGATGACGGAGGACCGCCGCCGCGTGAACACGACCACCGGTCATTTATTAATCGTCATCCTCCATTACGGAGGAGGACAACCCTCCCCTCTTCTCGCGGCGCAGGGCTCGCGACGGGAGCTTCGTGGCACGCCTCGGGCTCCCGAGGGGCGCCCGCGGGCCCGCGGTTAAGCGTCAACAAAACGGCCCGGGAGGAAACAACGGCCCCGGGAGATCGGTCTTGACTATAGCCCTCCTCGGAGCTCGGCGCTGCGAAATAATCACGACGTCGGAGATCACATGAGGAGGATCGGCGGCGCGCGGAGGGGGGTGGGGGGGGGGGGAACGCCTCTTAGGAGCGGGCTGCTTCTTGGGAGGCGCTGGCCTTGCATCTATAGATAAGGCCCGCGCCTTCTGAGAAGCAGGGGTGCTTCCAAGAAGCCTTCCCCCCTCCCCCCACCCCCCTCTGCGCGTGGCCGAGAGGAGCGGCGGCTGCTGCAAGCATGGAGGCGGTCCTCGTGCCTTGGGCGACGAGGCACGCCCCGCGCGTCAGGGGCACTTCTGGTTCAGACCGCCACCCTTCCCAACAACGGGGGGGGCCAGGCGCTGCACCAGCGGCAGCCCTCAGCGAAGAGGATGGACGAGGGTAGTGCCAGCGACGATGACGCCTATGCCGACGACGGTGGCGACGACGACGACACTGGTGATACACATGATGGAAGCGATGATGACGCCAGCAGTGGTGGCGCTGACGATGGGGATGCCGATGGCGCCGAAGAGGATGCAGAGGCACCGTGCTCGCATCGATTCTGACACTGTTTCGCGGACTCATGAATCAGCATGACAGGGTTGGGCACATATACATGGAAACGCCTGTACAACAACTGGTTGCGCGATAATTTTGGCATGCGCGCGTGGGGAGATGCGCGTGCGGCCCGCACTGTAATGTCAGCTTGTGAAAACCACAAGACAAGGACACGCGTGTGATGAAATCGTGAGATGCCCCTGCTCGGACGAATCGCAGCGTGGCGCCCGCCACAAAGAAACACGTGACGGCGGCGCCAATGGTTCGCGCCTACGCCGACGCCTGGCCGCCAGCAAGAAAGCGACAAGCGCGACGCTGCAAGACGCCAACTTCATCTGGTGCGCAGCAAAACCTCCGCTACAGAGGGGCAGTCGAGCCAAACTGGTCACATAAGTACTAGGGTGGAAGGGAGGGGCGGCTGAGGCAAGGGTTAAGTCGGGCGTGACCCCCTGCAGGCGGATTTGGATCGAAAAACTAACAAATACTCAAAACCTACTCCCGAAATGCCAAAAAACAAATCAACAAAAATCGTCCCTGAAAGATTAGTTGACAATTTTTGCAGATTCCCCCTGTAGAGAGACACGCCCGATTTAACGCTACAGAGGGGCGGTCGGGCCAAACTGGTCACGTACTGGGGAGGGGGGGGGTGCAAGGGAGGGGCAGCTCAGGCTGAGGCGACAAGGGCCGCCGCCGCCGCCGCTTGCTGCCGCCGCTGGGCCGGAGGAGACCCCGAAGCAGTTTCCTCGCCTTCCGCATCTGAGACGAAAACCCCTTTATCATGTCCATGGCATGGGCCGAACAATTCGCTGTTTAGGGAGCGCTCTTCTTCCCCTCCTCCAGTTGAGCAGGGACCGACCGTCCCGGCATTTCTTTAGGCCTACCACGACATGTCCGTAGAACCCGGACATGTTCTAAGAACAAACACAATGTTCTTAGAACATAAACCCGATGCATCAAAAATAAACAGTCCTGGCTAAAAATGTTTTAAGAACATTTCTTGCAGACCACAAAAGGTTATTGGAACAATCTGTGGTGGGCCTATAGGCAAGCTAGGACGCTTCGCCACTGCTTGATCCAGCTCCAGCTCCGCCTCGCCGATGGCAGGGGACCGGCTCGCGGTCGTCTCCCCCTGTGCTGCAAGGCAGCCAGGCCCAAAGAGTGCACCAGGCAGGCGCAGCGCGAGGCTTGGCGCGACCGAGCTCGGAGTGGAACAGGTGGCACCTTACCGCGGCGTGGTATTTGACAGGTTGGAGGGCGCGCGATGACTGCCGAATGGTTTCGACATGTGCGCCGGTGGGCGGCGTGATCTCTTTTGACGGACACGGCGCAACAAAAACATGTGGCTTCATAGGACTTCACAAGCTGCACGCGCTTTTCTCTAGCAAATGACGACTGCAGAGCAATAGCTGTTGATAGCTTTGGGCGTCGTACTTGGGAGCCCACTGGTTTTGGACGAGATTGCAACGTGCGCACACGCGTAGGCCCCCACTCGTGAGTTCACCCGGGCTCATCGGACACGCAGCCGTGAGATCAAAACGGAATCACCACAGTGCTACTCCCGGGGGCGGCCAAGAGGGGGGCGTCCAAGAGGGGGGGGCGCATAGCATGGCTGGCGGCACGTGCGCGGCCAAGGAGGGGGGCCGGGAGCGTACTGAAACAAAAGAAGGCGCCACGAGATCTGGGGAAATATCATGGCCTCCGTCATGATTTCCCCCCCTAGTCATCCCCCCCCCCCTCTTTGCAGCGCCCGATGCTCGGCGGGGGCAAAAAGGGAGAATGACAGGGCTGTCTGGGATGGTATGAATTTTAGCTCGCCTGCCCAGCCGGCCAGAGGCGTGCTAAAATCTCGGGCAAGAGGTTTCTGTGCTTTTCGTTCGCGCGCGCGCGTCGGCCTCTGGGGGGTCCCCGGGCGAAAAAAAACACCCCGGGCAGTCTCTGGGCGGCACCCAGGAGGTTCCCGCCAGGAAGCCGGCCTGAGAGCGTCCCTCCCTCTCCTCCTCCTCCTCCTCCTCCTCCTGCTCCTCCTCCTCCTCCTTCTCCTTCTCCTCCTTCTCGTCCTCCACGTCCTCGCCCTCCTCCATCTCCTCCTCCTCCTCATCTTCCTTCTCCTCCTCCTCCCCCTCCTCCTCCTGCTCGGCCTTTGGGGGTCCCTGGGCGAAAAAACACCCCGGGCAGTCTCTGGGCGGCACCCAGGAGGTTCCCGCCAGGAAGCCGGCCTGAGAGCGCCCCAGCAGCGCCCCGAGGGTGCCCCAAGAACGCGCTCCAGTCGAGACCAGTGGGCAGCAGTGCGAGGCGGGGGCTTCTCCATATCCACCGCCTGGGAGCCGACGTCCTGGTGCCCCAGCGGGCGGTGAATATGGATATATTTCGGCCCCCTGGGGCCCGAATGCATCCATATCCACCGCCTGCCGAGGCTCCGAAAACTGACCCTCCAGGCGGTGGTCGAGTATAAATGCCCGCCTCGTAAGCAGGCCCCGGCATGGCCCGAGGACAGTCCCAAGAGGCTTGGAGATAGCTTCAACATGGCCCAATGCATCACCGAAGGGGTTCCTGGGAGCCATGCATTCGTTGATTTCGCTTGGGTGTTTGAAAGATGTTGGCGTTGCCACCTCTTCAATACTCCGACCGCCACAGAAGCTCCAAATGTCGCCTCAAGCCACCCCAAAAGGCTTCCACGACTCACGACGACCCCAAGAGTGCCCCAAGACGGCCCAAGAGGCCCCCCAAAAACGGTTCACAGCCACCAAAGGGCGCCAAGAGGGGGAACCCGAACTGAGACTTCGAGCCCTTTCCTGAATGGTGGCCCCCCAGACTGCGGGTTAGCCCCCAAGAGGCCCCCGAGATACTTTCAGAGGCCCCTGAGAGGCCCAAGGGAGGCCCAAAGCAGCCTACAAGGTCTTCCAACTGCCTTCATTTCGACCTCCCCCCCGCCCGACGCAAAACCGAATACCCGATGCATCAAAGCATGACATCACGTAGACCACACGACCACCAACGTCGGTGAAGCGTGCGGACCTCAGCACAAAACTTTGTCCCGCTTCCAAGCTATGAGCGAAACTCGCGGCGCTCTGACTCTGGCCAACGAACAGCTGCGTGCATTTGCGCGCGGACCCCAGCACAATTCTTTGTCCCGCTCCCTGGTTATATGCGAAACTCGCGGCGCGGTGGCTCTGGCCCAAGAGCATCTGCGTGCATTCGCGCGAGGACCTGAACACAAGTCTTTGGCCCGCTCCTGGGCTATGTGTGGAACTCGCGGGGCTCCAACAATACCCTCTCTCCTTTCCCATCCCTCTTCCCCGTGTCTGTTCCTTCCCTTGCTCATGTGTATTCCTTCTCCCCCTTCCTTGTCTTTGTCTTTCCTCTTCTCTACCTTCTCCTCCTGCCTCTTCTCACAACCCCAGGTGCAGTGAGGCTTGCGACAACTGAACACACTCTCTCGTGCGTTCTTGGAAGACTCCGTCGCGCTGGTACCCCGCGTGGACCGCCGAGCCCTCATAGACCAGTCCTGCGCTCTCCCAGGCCTCCTGGGAGCCGCCCGCAACCCCGTCAGGCGCTTTTTGGCGGCCTGCTGGAACAAGCTTGTGCCCTCTTGGAATTTTCTGGGCACAGCAACGGTGATACGAAATGGGCCGGCGGAGTGAGCGAAACTGTTCATTCAAGAAGAACAACCATGCACAAAACAAATAAGACACACGCTAATTAGACATGGTTTCAATCCGGCCTCGGCCTGAAGACAGAGCCCAAGGGTCTTTGGAGAAGAGAGCCCATGGGCTGCAACCCGTGAATTCCAACAAGTGGTAGTAAACTCGGCGGCGAGCGAGGAGGGGAAGTGAGAAAGGGCGGGCCTTCTCAGAAGGCTCGGAAGTCCCCCCAGACTTCTGCAAAGTGTTCTAAGCCTTCCCCGAAGATGCAGTCAAAAACCCTAATAAGGACGCGCGGTAAGGACGCAAGACACTTGGAAGCCGAAGTTGGGATTTTTGGGGCGGCGGACGACGAAAGCCTCAAGGACGCAAGAGCAAGGAAGAGCAAGGACTCAAGGGTGCCCTGAGCAAAGTCGCGCGTCCTTATTAGGGTTTTTGACTGTAGAAAAAGAAACTCTCAGAAGGCGCAGGGGGTTCTGAGAAGCCCCGCCGCCTCCTGAGAAGGCCTTCTCCTTCTCGTTTCCCCCCCTCGCTCGCCGCCGATCAACGTGGGCACCCACGAGGCGCCAACGGCCGGCAACGGACCAAGAACCCAGCACCCCCAGCCGCAGTGGAAGAGGATGAGGGGGCAGGGGAGGAGGAGGAGGAGGAGGAGGAGGAGGAGGAGGAGGAGGAGGAGGAGGAGGGAGGAGGGAGGAGGGAGGAGGAGGCGGGCGAGGAGCAGGAGGAGCAGGAGGAGCAGGAGGAGGACGAGGAGGACGAGGAGGAGGAGGAGGAGCAGGAGCAGGGAGTCCACGAGATGCCCACAGCCGGCCACCGATCGACAGCCAGGCACACGCGACCCACGCACGGAACGCCCACGGAGCGCCACGAGCGGCCACGGGGCGAAGACCGGGCACGCCCACCCAAACGACCTGGAACACAATCGAGAGACCCTCGGTGCCATGACTGTGGGGTAAGACAAGGCACGAGGACGCCGATAATAGAATGGCATCAATACGTAAACACGTGTACTTTGACTACCTCGAAAATTTTGGGCCCCCCGACTGCAAGGGCCCCCCAGACTGCAAGGGCCCCCCCCCCCGAACTACAAGGGCCCCCCCCGGGACTACAGGGACCGCCCCCTGGACTACAAGGACTCTCCCGGGCTACAACCACCACGCCCAATGCCACAAATAGACAATTGCCACGACCCCCCCCCCCTCTGGACTGCAAGGGCCGCCCCCCCCCACCCGGAGTACAAGGGCCCTCCCCCCTGGACTGCAAAGGGCCCCCCGCCAAACTACAGGAACCCCCCTGCGGACTACAGGCCCCCCCCCCCCGCACTACAGGACCCCCCCTGGACTACAGGGGCCCCCCTCCCGCACTACAAGGACCACCCCCCCGGACTATGGGTCACCCCAGAACTATTGAGGTACTCAGAGTAGTACGTGCATGCGTGGGTAGGCATGTCCCCCTCCTCCCCTCGCAGAGAGGTCCCTCCATCCACTCCACTGCTTGAGAACGCCTACGCCATCAGAGAGCTCGGTCATCGCGATCTGGATTATGTCCTCGCAACAGGTGTGCGAAGACGGGCGGGCGACATCAAACCTTGATCAATTGCTTCCGACCACAATACAATGCATATCACTGTTCCCATCGCGGGCGCACCGTGGAATACCCAGAAAAACAGGCAATGACTCCCCCATGACGCCCTGAAAAAAGGCCCGCCCCTGCGCATATGTGAGCAGCCCAAGCCGAAGGGGAAACTTGCGCATTAGGAGGTGCGAAGCAAACTCGTGTGCTGGCATGCGAACGGCCCCTGATGGGGCACATGTGAGAAACGTGTCGAAATAGGCGGGGCAACGCCATCCAAAGCAACCCAGTGGAACCGAAAAAAGAACTCACTGTGAAAAACGATCCGTAAGAAGAATGCGCCGGAATTTTCTGGGCAACTCCGTGAACCCTCCCACTGGGGCCAAAATCGTGAAGAACGTCCCGAAATTGGCGGGCCAATGCCATGCAAACCCTCCCACGCGGGCCAAAGGAAGAGTTTTCTCTTGAGCCCGATCCGCTCAAGGTGTGCCAAGATTAGCGTTGCACCGCACGGCGAACCTTTCTCTCTCTCTCTCTCTGTCTCTTTCTCTCCCACTCTCTCCCCCCTCTCTCTCTCTCTCTCTCTCTCTCTCTCTCTGGGGCAACATGTGGAGCGCCCCAACGTGCCGCGTGTATTTCTTGAAGCTGATCCAAGATGCTACATGGTCCTCACGCAAGACAATATGCACACGTCCGAGCGATGCCAACGTGAAGGGCGTGCCGAAGTGGGCGGGGCAACGCTGTACGAACCCTGCCACTGGGGCTAGAGGTACAGACCCGTGTGGTACACGACCCGTGTGACGGTGCGCCGACGGAGCGGGCGGGCGACACCATGCGAACCCTCCCTCTGGGGCCGCTGGTGGACGCGGGGCGCAGCGGTGAGAACACGAGGATCGCGTTTCTTTATTCGGCGATAATGGGTAAATGGGGGGGAGAGGGCCCAGGGGGGGGGTATAATGTAACGCCTCCCCCCCGCCGTGCGCACGGCGGCAGTGCCTGGAGCGCCCTGGGGGGGGGGAGGGGCGTTACGTTATAGGGGGGGTGGGGGAGGGTGGGTCGGGGGCTATAATGCCCACTATGCCCCAAGCAATAACGAATTTCCTCTCCTGGCAAGCACGGCTAAGGGGGGGGGCACATTGGCGTGCCTGCTTCTGCTCTACATTTGGGTCGGGCATGTCCCCCTACCGGAGGATTTTGGACAACAGTTTAAGATTACACAAAACTAGTATTCCAAACATGGCACGCAATAAAATATTTAAAGAGTCGCCCCCGGACTATTGTTGGACCAGTTTTGAATATTCTCCTGTAGAGGGACGTGCCTGACTAAATTTTACATTCCAGAGCATGCTTTACACTGCTACACCGAAGTAGCCAAACCTTGCGTGTCACATACACCACACCTTGCACAGTTCCAGACTTGGCATACACGACAACGCATTCAACGGCATGGTGTTAAACTTCCAAAAGAATTCTCGTGTACTGTATATATATATATGTGTATATATATATATCGTCTGGTCACCCATAGCCCGTACAATAAAGCTACAATGAGTCCCGATGAGTTGTATGTAGCAAGCACGCAACATGACTCCATCATACGCAAGTTTCAACTGATTGATACCACCTGTTTGAAACCTGGCACTGCCACTTAAACTCGTGACATGGCCCTGCTGGTCGTGTCAAACAATCTGTACATGCCCTCAAGCCTTGTCATGTGGCTCGTGATCCAGCAAATCCGCTTCCGTCACCCTTTTCAAACATTCCCATCCTGGCACTTACACAGCTCTCTCATCATGATCGTCTCACCCCGTCCCCTCGATCGCCCTACCCGCCCTCTCCTTCTATCCAACCTCGCTCCTCTCTCCCCTCAGCTACTCGCAAGAGTGATCCTAATCAAGAGTGACCTTTGGTGCGAGGCTTGCGGATTGCTGCTCGCGGTGCAGCAGTAGCGGCCTGCGTCCTTGGATCTCTAGACCCTTGCGCCTCCGAGCGCCGCGCAGTCAAGGTCACTCCGCAGATAGGTCGCTCTTACGTCCCCGTCCCCGTCCTCGTCCTGTCCCCTCCCCGTCCCCGTCCCTCGGGGGCGCGCAAACATTGATTAGCAATCAATGGATTTGGCGCGCGGTCGCCAAATCCATGGATCGGGGGGAGGTGCCCTCCCCAAAATGCGGCCGGTGCCGCCTCGCTCGGCGGCGGAAGTCCGCGATTTCGCATGGAAGCGGGGCCCGTCGCTCATCCACGCCCCCTTGATCCATGTCTGCGCTCGTCCCCGTCCTGTCCACCCCCATCCCCGTCCCCATCCCCGTCCTATCCTGCCCCCTTTTCCCTTGCATTAGGTCGGGCATGTCCCCCGACAGGGGGATTTTGGGCGAACAAAATAAAACGTACTCCAAAAATGTTCAAAAATAATCCAAAATCGTCAGAACAATCGTCCCCAGACTATTCACTGTCTATTCTTGAACTTTCCTCCTGTAGAGGGGCAAGCCCGACCCATCCCCGCCCCCGTCCTGTCCACCCCCATCCCCGTCCCCATCCCCGTCCTGTCCTGCAGGAGGAGGAGGATGATGATGAGGAGGAGGAGGAGAGCGACGGAGGAGGAGGAAGAGGAGGAGGAGGAGGACAGGGAGGAGGAGGAGGAGGAGGAGGAGGAGGACAGGGAGGAGGAGAAGGAGGAGGAGGAGGAGGAGGAGGGGGAGGAGGAGGAGGAGGAGGAGGAGGAGGACGGGCCCGCGGCGTCGCCCGTCCTGTGTCCGGCTCGGGGGCGAAGCCGCCGCGCCCCGCGGAGGAGGCGCCTCCCGCACGGGCCGCGGCCCGTCCCGCCGAGGCTGCTGGAAGACGGCGGGCGCGGCCGAGGCGCGCTCGGCCACAGGCTCCAGGATGCTCTGCAGGGGCCCAGGGACACACAGACAAGTACACACACACACATCCCAGGACTCCCCATATGTTTTCCCACGCTTTCTACGCCTTCGTCTCCCCCCCCACTTCCCACAGTCTCCAGGACGCTCTGCAGGGGCCCAGGGACACACAGACAAGTATACACACACACGCACACACACACATCCCAGGACTCCCCATATGCTTTCCCATGCTTTCTGCGTCTTCGTCTTCCCCCCCAACTTCCCGCAGTCTCCAGGATGCTCTGCAGGGACACACAGAAACAACTATACACGCACATCCCAGGACTCCCCATATGTCTTCCCATGCTTTCTGCGCTTTCGTCTTCCCCCCCACTTCCCACAGTCTCCAGGATTCTCTGCAGGGGCCCAGGGACACACAGAAACAAATATACACGCACATCCCAGGACTCCCCATATGTCTTCCCATGCTTTCTGCGTTTTCGTCTTCCCCCCCACTTCCCATATTCTCTAGGATTCTCTGAAGGGGCCCAGGAAGACACACACAGATACACACGAATACCAACATTCTCTATATCTTGTCCCATATTTTCTGGGTTGTCGTCTTCCCCCCCCCTCCCATATTTTCCCATGTATTCCTGGGGATCGACGATTAATTGTGTCTGTGCTTTTTCCGTGTGTTTTTTCCCCTCCTGCTTCTCCACTCCATCGCCCCCCTCTGCGGCAAGAGCATCGGACAAGGAACCCTTAGATAGGGAATCCAGGGTCTGGGAGCTCGTGGGACACTAGCGGAGGCTCGGTCATGGATGTCACCACCGCCCTCATCACAGAAAGAACCCTCCAGGGTCGAAAGTCTCCTTCGCACATTCCTTAACGAACGCTCCAGCGTATCCCTTATGCTGTCCCCCGCCGTTGCCCCCCCCCATCCCCCTTGCCATGAGGTCCTAACTATCCCGGGCCCGCGGACGAAATTATGGATGTGGACGGCTGCGAAGACACCGTGAAGACTTCAAACGTGGGGTGCGGGCGGTGCGCTTCCAAGATACTAAAGGTCGGTGGATCGCGCCGCATCGCCGATGCGTCTGCGAAGTCGGCGATGCATCGGCGACGTCGGGGTGGAGAAAGTCGGGCTCCACATCTAGCCGCATCGCCGATGCGTCGGCGACGTGGCGCGATCCACGGACCCCATCTACTTCGGCCCCATGTGGGCGGCCTGGAGATGCCCTGTCGAGCCAGCAATCGGTCGCACCGGCAGGTACTGTGGTGCCGAGCGAAGGTTTCGCAAGACAGCCATACACCGGTAGCGGACAAGTGTGGCCTGGCCTCCAGCCCACCTCAAAGATCTTCGACAAACATCATGCCAGACCAGACACCAAACCAGACAACAAATCAGACCAAACAACAAGGAGAAACGCATGTCCTCATGTTTGTTCATCCCTCCCGCCAGCCGTGGACACTCAGGTGGCGACACTGACGGGACGACAGATACGAAGAAGCGCAGGAAAGCAAGGATGCGGAGAAGCACAACAAACAATGAAAGCAAGGAAGCAAGGATGCGGAGCGCAGGAAAGCAAGGATAGTGGGGACAAGGGAAGCGGATGTTGATGGAGAGCGCGAACAAGATGGGACATATTCGGATCATATCCATCGAAATATCCGGATCTCTTTAGATTGCCGATGTTGCACATCAACGTGTCCGCAATCGGATGGAACTAAATATAGCATCAAAAAGGGTCAGCGAGAAGATCGATGACACCACGCCCCTCTAACCCAGATTAGACCGCGAGCGACCAGACCACGCCAGGCAAAACCAATGATCGCCAGACTACGCCAAACGTGAGCGAGTAACTCGTCACTAGATGGGCCTGTGGAGAAGATGCGAGAAGCGTCTAGAACTAACTTCAATGGCGGCTGAACTTTGCAGAGGGTGCAAGCTTTCCAGACGCCCCACTGGTTGCCCCCAAAGAAACATTCCATCCGAGCAGCTGTTAGCAAACCTCTGTGAGATTCCCCCCCTCAAAAAAAAAACAAGCATCCAAGAAGGGCGTTCGTACGACTGGCCCCAACATCCCCCGACCACACATGCTCACGTCCTCCCTCCTGGCAAACTCCCGCCCACGCGGACCTCCAGTCGGTCAGCCCAGCGGTATCCGTCCGTGGTGTCCAGCAACGAGATCCAGCCTCAATCAAGGGGGGTACAAACAACTGCTGGGAGATCTTGCTTAGGAGAACCGTCTTCGCATAAACATTGAAGCCCACTAACTTCTAGCCCGGGGTGAATGGGTTAAGCTGGATTTGGCCAGTCGTCGACAACGAGGGTACCCGCGCCGATGCTGAATTCAACCTCGCAAACGTCGAACCCCCAAAAAACATAATGTAAATGGCACGCCGCCGTGGAACACCGCCATCAGCGTGCTTTGGTTGAGGAAGTATGATGGAGTGAGGAGGCCGAGCTGTCCTAGTCCTTAGCTGCGTAAATCTAGTTGTGCTCCACGATGCGGGTTGCATGTAATCTCTCACTTCTGGAAACAGCTATTGTTGATGCCCTTACCCCGTGCCCACTGAGACCAACCAGCCCTTTGGGCTCAGGTGGTCTACGAATTCGGTCTGTCCTCCACCAAGAGCCTTCCCTTCGGGGGAAGGCACCGTCCCCCCCCCGATCCCTCAGGTTGTTTTGATGGGCACCGCGAAGTGTTAGAGGGCCTTTCTTCGCCCAAGGCGGCTCCAAGAGGGCCCGCAATGCTCCGAGATGGTATCCAAGGAAGTCCAAGATAGCCGAACATGCTTCAAGATAGCTTTCGACATGCTTCCACGAGGTCCAGCGAGGGACACAAGCTTTGGGCGCCCGAGTTATCCGGGGTAACTCGGGTCCGGGGTAAGTCGGGTTTGGATTCCCGAAAAAGGAACCCGAGTTAGCCCTGACCCGAAATACCCCTGATGATTCGGGGCTCTGGACGCCCGAGTGATCCGGGGTAACTCGGGTCCGGGGTAACTCGGGTTTGGATTCCCGAAAAACGAACCCGAGTTATCCCTGACCCGAGTTACCTCTGATGATTCGGGGCTCTGAAAGCTGGCTTCAAGCGCTCCCGCAGCACCCACAAGACCCCCCCGACGGGGCCAACACCCTTTCACAAAACCTCGGCGCGGTCCCCAGCCAGCTCGGGGCGTGGCCCCGCACCGCGACGATGGGTGCGCCGCTCGGCGTCGGCAGGGGCCGACCATCCCCGCATCCTTAAGGCCCTTAAGGATGCCTTCGGACAAAAACGTAATTTTGAATATTACATTTTAGTTGTGCTCCCCGGCCTGGCTGTTAGCGTTTTTGGGTGGGCCCCCCTTCCTGTAGACGGCCCCCTCACTAACTTAAGGGCCTACCGCGACATGTTCTTAGGATCCACACGTGTTCCAAGAACAGAGACAGTGTTCCTAGAACGCAGGCCCAATGTGCTAACAAGGAACAGCATCGGCCAGAAATGGTTTAAGCACAGTTCGCAGGAACCACAACCGTTTCGTGAAACACTTTACTGCGCCGACCTTGCAGACGTGCTGAAGCGGATTGTTGCGTGTATGTCCGTCAATGCAAAACCCCAGATCGGCGAGTAAAGAACGAAATGGCTGTCGCGTGGGTTTCTAGTCTTCATCCCCAGCCCGACAACACTGCGCGAAATTCACCCCGAAATCCGAAACGACATTCTCCAGGACACTCTCCGGGCCCATCCTATCGTTCTACAAACGAAATCCGCTCTGCGAGGTTGACGCGATGAAACATCGTTCTAAGAACATTTCGCAGACATCACGAAAAAAACACTTCTTGGAGCATTGTTCGGTGGGCCTGGAGAGAGGGATCATCGTCCTGGTGGTCCTACCCGCATAAGCCCACCTCCTGGGGGGACAGCGCCCGCACGATGAGTCGGGATGCCCCCCAAAGACGCGCGCGCCTTTAGGGCAGCGCACAGCGAGGTGAAAGGTAACTCCATGCAGGTGTTGCCACCGGCCAGGCCTGCACCATCGCACACAAGCCTACAGGCACGCCGCGACGCTCCGCCGCGGCTTCGTCGACCCCGGCCCGAGGCCGGCCGCGGCTCGGGCACGCGCCTGCGCCGCCGGCCCCGCCGGAGCGCCCACGCGCGAACGCCCCGAGCCGAGAGGTCCCCCCAAAAATGAAGGGGCCCAGGGACACATAAAAGGAATGAACGTACATATCCCAGTATGTACAAGATTTTCCCTTATATTTCCTGGGTTCTCGTCGCCCCCAATTTCGTCCTCCTCTTCGTCCTCACCCCCCTTCCGTCCTCTTCTTCCTCCTCTTCCTTCGTCTTCGCCTTCCTCTTCCTCCTCCTCCTCCTGGGGATACAAAAAGAAGGATACCGCTACTCCCCGGACCTCCCCCGAGGCGCGTGCTGACCAGGATTTCGAGGCGAATCCAGCGGTGGCGACGAGGGCCTTCCAGGAGGCACAAAAAGACGAGAACGGGCAAGGGGTAGCATGGGCACCTTTTCCTGATCTGACCTCTGGCCCTCCTTCCGCCCATCCCTCCCTTCCGCCCCCCCTGCCTCCTCCCTCCCCTCCTTCCTCTATCCTGCAGCGGTCCCTCACCTCTTCTTCCTCCCCCACCCCCCCGCCGTCCTCCCCCCCCCTCTTCGTCGTCCTCTTCCTTTTCTCCCCCTTCCTCCTACTCCCATCCTGCAGAGTCCAAGGTCGGTCTGGAGACCAGGCCGCCCTCGCCGCTGCTCCTTCCTTGCGCGAGGGGAGCCTGCCGGGCGCTCGGTGCGGCCGCGCACGCGCCCCTCGGCGGGGCTCTGCGACCTCGGCAGGGCGGCACCGGGGGACAGTGGCCGCCTCGTGTTGCTCCTCCACCCCTTCCTCCTCCTCCGCTCTGCTGCTGCTGCTGCTGCTGCTCCTCCTCCTCCTGCTCTCCCACCTCCTCCTTTTCCTCCTCCTCCTCCTCGTCCTCCTCCTCCCCCTTCTTCTCCTCTTCCCCCTCCTCCTCCACCTCCTCCTCCTCCTTTTCCTCCTCCTCCTCCTCCTCCTCCTCCACCACCTCCTTCTTCTCCTCAATCTCTCTCTCTCCTCCTCCTCCTCCTCCTCTCTCCCCCCCCCCTCCTCTCCTCCTCCTCCTCCTCCTCCTTCCTCCTCCCCTCCTCCTCTCCTCCTCCTCCTCCTACCTCCTCCTCCTCCCCTCCTCCTCCTCCTCCTCCCTCCTCCTCCTCCTCCTCCTCCTCCTCGCTCCTCCTCCCTCCCTCCTCCTCCTCCTCCTCCTCCTCCTCCTCCTCCTCCTCCTCCTCCTCCTCCTCCTCCTCTCCTCCTCCTCCTCCTCCTCCTCCTCCTCCTCCTTCCTCCTCCTCCTCCTCCTCCTCCTCCTCCTCCTCCTCCACCTCCTCCCCTCCTCCTCCTCCTCCTCCTTATCCTCCTCCACCTCCCCCTCCTCCCTCTTCCTCCTCCTCCTGCTGCTCCTGCTCCTCCCTGCTCCTCCTCCTCCTTCTCTTCCTCCTGCTCCTCCCCTCCTCTCTCCTTTTCCGCCCACCTCTCTCCTCTTCCTGCACCTCATCCTTCTCCTCCTCCTCCCTCCTCCTCCTCCTCCTCCTCCCCTCCTCCTCCTCCTCCTACACCTCCTCCTCATCATTATCCTCCTTCTCCTCCTCCACCTCCCCCACATCCTCCTCCTCCTCCTCCTCCCTCCTCCTCCTCCTCCTCCTCCTTTTCCTCCTCCTCCTCGTCCTCCTTCTCTCCTTTTTCTTCTCCGATTCCTCCTCGTACATCCTCCTCCTCATACTCCTCCTCCACCTCCGTGACCTCCTCCTGCTCCTCCTCCTCCTGCTCCTCATCCTCCTCCTCCTCTTCCTGCTCCTGCTCCTGCTCCTCCTCCTCCTCCTCCTCCTCCTTCGCTCTCCTCCTCCGCTCTCCTCCTCCGCTCCCCACCTCCTCCTCCTCCTCCTTTTCCACCTCTTCCTCCTGCTCCTCATCCTCCTCCTCCTTCTCATCTCTTCTTCTTCCCGAAGCCGTGGAGCCCCCCTCTGAGGGCACAACTGTCCACGCGGGAAGTCCCTACACAAGGGGAACAACAACGGCTGGATCTTTCCCAGCCACACCTGGGAGGTAGCCCTGGCACATCCTTCGGACGGCACGCCTGCCCCACTCTCCAGGCTTGCAGCACGGGGCGAGGAATCCCTTGAGTTGCTTCGAGCTGTGAGCACCACAGAGCGTACACGCAACAACGGGATGGGCCGCATCCTGAAGGGACTCCTCCACCCTAAAAACAACGAAACGGTGCACCTTCAAACCCTGCTCGTGCAAGCGCTCATTGGCATCACGCGCGCGCGCGTCGAGATCGACCCAGGGCAGACCTCGGACACGGGGGCCACAGCACGGCAGCGAGCACACCAGGGTTTCCTGGAAGGCCCTCTTAAATCATGAGGCAGCTGAGCAGGGACGACAACGAGGAGAGGGGGCGCGCTCACACGCGTGCGGCGCGCAACGTGCGTCGTGTCACGTCCGTCCACATGCGCGCCCACCTCCCCTATCCTGTGCCCAGCCTGCTCCACAAACTGCTCAGCCTGCTGCATGCGCTTCCTATCCTCGACAGGCGCACGCGCAAGCTGGCCTCCAAACTTCGCCCATGCGTCGGCGTGGAAGTTGCCGAAGCGGTCTCGACGTGTGATGCGGCCCGCATCCACGCCAGCCATCGCGCAGTGGCTCTTGACTTTCCGCATCGAAAGACCAGCCTCGCAAAAGGCCGCCAAACTCAGCCAGGGCCCTCCAGAAGGCCCGCCAGAGGCAAGCCCAGGCAGAGGAATGGGCCGTGGTGGCCTCTTCCCCTCTCTCGGTCACTCCACGAAACACAGAATCCGAATCAGTGGCGGCAGTGATCGGAGGCAACGAATTATGAATCAAAAATATCAAGGCCTCCAATTCGGCCCCGTCGGTGTCGAACACAGACTGCGAACAAGTGCAGCACGCAATGTCAACAACACCGAGAGGGGCCTCATCACGCAGAGTAACGACGGCCCAGCCTGTACAACTCAAACTACTCCACTGGCCTTCAAAGGCCGAACCGTCCAGGTAGGCTTCCTTGGCAATGATGACCCCAGGCCCCGCATGCGGATGCCAGACCGCCGTGTCCTGGGCAGGGGCCCTCCACGAGGTCCGCGGGATGGGCCAAAACGCCCTCTCCAGAAGCACTCGGACCTGGGACCGATCCTGAGCCTGAACCAGCGGAGTAAACGCATCAGAGCACGGCAGCTCCTGACATAAATCACACTCGAAATGCCTGTGGACAGGAGTGCCAGGCTTGCGACAAATGAGACACTCATTGCTCGAAGCATTCCTAGCTTCAAACTTCCTGACCATGGGCCACTGCCCACCAACAATGCACGAGCGAACATACGCACGCGCCTCGGGCCCCAGGGTCGGAAGGTCAAGATTTTGAACACAGCGAGGCCGCCCGCTAGAGACAGCCTGGACCAGGGGCAACCAAACCGCACCAAACTCCAGATGTTTCAAATCATCGTGCTTCGCCACCTGTCGCCATTGCCAGGCCGTGGCGGCCTGCACTAAATAGTGTCGGATCACTCGAGGACAGAGCGCACTGACGTCAAGGTCTAAGCCCTCATGCGTGGTCCACTCAAAGGCGGAGCGAATCGACCAGCCGACGCGAGCCAGCGACAGCCGACACGCACTGAAAGGACCAGACACTTGGGCCCAGAGCGAGACCGACGAACTTCCTTCCAGCCCATCCCGCACCACATGCCTCGGCACCCACCCCTCCCATATAGCTCGGCAGAGCGTGATCACAGACATCAGAGTGGCCCGAAGGATCGGGTCAGCACCCTTCTCGCAGATCAAGGCTAGAGCGCGGGACTTCCCAGCGGTTGCCCCAGTGAGACACGCAAACGCAGTACAACGCATAGTCTCAAGGTTCGAAGTCGAGCATCCCGTGACATTCATCCCATGCGACATACTCGCCTCCAAACCCGAAAGAGCAACCTTTCGAACTCCTAAGCGTTTCTTCTGTCCCGTGCGAATGAGGCCAATCCGCCTCAGGCGCTGACGAGCACCCAGAATCCGAGATTTGCGTACTGCATGCCCGACGCGCCGCCCACATGAGAAGTCAATGCCGAGGTTACGCTCATGCAGTGTAGCTTTCGTACCCATTTTCGCCTGCAGACGTCGTGCAACCTCATCGCGCACACACTGCTCATTGCACAACACGCGCGACTTGTCAACATGTACACGTAGGTCCACTGCAGCGAGAGCCTCCTGCAAGTCTAACGACGCCTGGACCAGCTCACGCGTGACTCTAGATTGCGTGCCAACCCTGTGCAATAGCAAGTCATCGACGACAATGGTGGGGACGACGGTTCGGTGCATTCTGTACATGGAGTCAAGCGGCCGAATCAAAATCAGCTTGAGCGTGCAAGTGGCCCAGCCGCCACCTGGTAGAATGGTCTGCCCAACCATCATCGGAGACGAGGCGACTTGGCCCAAGCAACAAAAACGCTCAGCACGATATAACTCCACATTCAACTTTAGCTGCCAGAGAGGGAATCCAGTAGCCACTGCGGCCTTCAAGAGCCAATGATGTTCCACTTGTTCAAAGGCTTTCACCAGATCCAAGAGAACCATACCAGAAACCCAAATGCCCTTAGTGGAGCCTTTAGCCTTAGTAGTCACATACTCAGACCAGGCCGTCTGCTGCCAGACGGCTCGATCGCACGATCTTCCCTTGGAGGCCCAGAAATACGATCGATCATTGCGGGGCCCCCGCTCTCGTGCTATCGGGCGGCGGAGGCGTGCCTGAACCCGAGCCAACACGTTAATTAGCGCTATGGGGCGCACACCGCCCAGGCGCTTGGACAAGAAGGCGATCTTCGAGGCACACTTCGGCCACTCGGCCGACGCCTCGACGGCCATCAGGATGTCGATAAACGCTTCCAGCGCAGGATCGCACAGCGTGGATAACTGCTGCGGCCTAATCATACAGAAACTCATGCCAGTGTGCTTGGGGAAGGTTCTCAAAACTTTTCGAAGATGTTCGACGCATGGACGCTCAGGACGAACACCAAGATCCTCAGGCCAACTGAGGCCATTGCGCCACTCCCCGACCCTCCACCACCTGCTCCATTCCCCTGTATCTTGTCCACCTGCTGCTGCCGATCACGAGGACGAAAAAGCAACTCAGCACTGGTGTCGTGAAAGCCCTCTGGGAGCTGTGTGATTCTGTGGAGCCCTCCAGCCCCTCCGACAGCTTGCTCATCAACCCAAGCTCGAAACTTAGCTTGCCGATGGTTTTCATCACTTTTGGCAAACTTGAGGGCCACCTTCTTGGTAATGTCCGCCAGGGCCCCGAGGATCTCGCAATCCCAGAACTCGGCTCCGAAGATCTGGAACAATCCCCACCATTCACCTGCAGGTCCTGCGCCTGTCTGCACACTAGCAGGCGCCGGCGCCTGCTTGCGAGCGAGAGCCCGCAATGCGGTGACGCGAGTGAGCGGCTAAGCAGAGCACGACGCAAAATGCATGCTGGCCGAGACAGCGCGCAGCCACAGAGCTTCAGGAGACGCCTTTGGCAACTTGGGGACCTTCGGCGCCAGCGCTGAGACCCACTTGGGACAAAGAGGCTGATCGCGACCCTGGTATTTATGCGCATCCTCTCCTACAACATCATATACATCACATAGCTCGAACTCTGCCTGGCGGAGAAAGCAGTTCCACGCATGCGACAGCACAGGACGGGTCGAAGAGCCCGTTGGGGAGCCGTTCTGATTGCAATTCAACAACTGTGCTTCCACCTCCTGACCGACGTCCGT